ATTGATACACACAGTTTTCTTTTTAATATACAAATATATTTTAATATACAAACAATAATACAGTTTACAATAACAGTTATTACAAACAATAAGTTATATGCAAAGGTTTACAAACATACAAGCAATATAAAGTCTTCATTCTAGTCTGGAATTTCCTTGATATCTTATCTAGGGTTCATGATGAGAGAGCTAATTTCGAGTTGACTTTGGTATAATTCACTTAATGGGGAGCTAGCTAGCTATGTGGTCTTCACTTATCACACGCCGATTTTTTTCCCATCGATGACGTTAGGTAATGTTTTCGTAAAAGTACTAATGTCCGATGTGAATCCACTGAGGTTAAATGGTTTGTAATGTTTCAAACTTATGAATGTTTCTGGTCAAATATCTGAAGTGTCCCGATTCATAATCGTTATAACAACAGATACTGTTTTTTATCGCGTTGGTTAAATTTATACTGGTGAGGAGAGTTTCTCAAAATTTCAGCTTACGCAACAATTCTGACGCTACACAAGCGTTTACGTACATATGTTATAAGCCCGCAGACTTATCGCTGTGCCTTTTATGGGGTAGTAACTTTAAGTGGTACATTTATGTAACATAGTAGCCCTAATATCGATTCAAATGGTTCATAGAATTATTAACAAAAATTGTGAGGTGCGCATGATTGTAAAAAACATTTCATTTAAATAAGTAGGAACTAAGTATATCTTTATGATTATATTCAAAGCAGACGATATCAAATTGCATATTTTTTTCTATTTTTCCAATAAGATATTACAAAATGTTCCTTTTCTTTTTTTAAATAATATATTCCATATGGGACTTCACCTTACTGTATTGTTTATACAACTTTTAATCATTTATTTATTTTTAAGATGAGAGGAAAAATAATGATTAGAGAAATAGTTAAATGTATTCATTTTGGATAAATTCTGGTTGTGTAAGTAGTTATAAGTTGTCCCGGCAATCTGCGAGTTGCGGGTTCGAATCTCCCTTCCACCAAAGATGCTCGCCCTTTCAGCCGTTGAGCCGTTATAATGTGACGGTCAATCCCACTATTCGTTGGTAAAAAAGTTGGCGGTGAGTGGTGATGACTAGCTACCTTCTTTCTAGTCTTTCACTGCTAAATTATACTAGCGCAGATAGCCTTCGTGTAGCTATTTGCGAAATTCAAAACAAAAAACAAGCTATAAGTTCTTCATTAAACGTAACGTGCTTACCTGGATGAATTAACTTTTGAACAAGTGGGTGAGACTCCAAAAACATTGCTATGGCCAATCCATTCTGCATGTGTTTCTCCATCCGAACAGAAAGCGTCTTGAGACCACGATTGACCAAATAACAGTCAAATGGAGAAGGTACAGCACCAAGAGCTGGCAAGTTTTAAGAAATATTTGTTTTTATTTATAGTTTACATAAAATCATTAAACATATTCATATTCAACGG